GGATATGTTTTTGTTGGTTATTGTCTTTTGAGACATCATCTGGCGGAAAATGAACGTCCATTAGGTGTTCCATTGTCTCTTGGTATGTTTTAGTGTAGCTTCCGTCTTCTTTATTAAGGTTAATTGGAATACTAATATTTTTCCTAGGTTTGCATATAATGTAGTAAGGATCTGACCACACTGATAGCTCTCCCATTCTTGTACAATATACCTTCCAAGCCTCAGTACGTGCTTTGTTAATTTGTGTTTTATAATTATTAAGAGATTGTCTGTATATTTCTCTAAGTTCAATTTTTTGAGTAGAGTCCGAGCATCTTATAGACTTAGAATATATATACAGTATTGTTAAATAAACAGTTTAGTTTATATGAAAAGGATTTGTCCTCTCTCCATTCTCCCGAATCAACACAAACCCCTCCGCCACTTGATATACCTCTCCAATTAAAATTTAGATGTTACCGCTCAGACGTTAAACTGCCAATATATAGAATTGTGAGCTAATCACATAATTTTTAGTCGGTTTCAAAATTGACAGAGGCAGAGATCTTTAGTCTCCAATAAATGTCGATAAACAATCTAAGAGCCATCTTAGACAAGTGAACAGTCTCACAGACCCCAATCTCACATTACTGTTCTCCATAGAATTATCTGATATAAATAATACTGTGAAATCCGCGATTTTTATGCCGATGTCGAAAAAACCTGTGTAAACAACTCCGATGAAAAAGCACTCTTGGTGAGAAGTATATTGGAGGTCACCGATTGTTTTCACACTTACAAGTTAGATGGGAAAGTTGACCCTTAGTTGATCGGAATGCACCATTAATGTCAACAGAAGTTAATCATATGACTCCGTTCCCACAAAGAACGTATAAAAGCTCAAATCCCCAGAAGCTCTGGGCGATCAAAGGAAGTTATACTTATTCACGAGTGGATCTTGTCTCCATACACCGGACATAGTGACCGAAAGGACATTGCCATACGACAGACCACAACTTCAAACTTCCATCGCCATTCTACAGTTCCTGCGCTGACTACAATTCATACGGCCCATTCAACGAACGCATATTAGACATAACCTCATAGAGGTATTTGTATTTTAGAGCTTTGTGAACTCTTTCTCAGAATAGCTGTTAGATAAAACATCAACAGCACACCGCTATATATAACAACTAACCTCTAAAAACCAATGTCGGTACGTTTTCTCCAAAAAAAAAAAAAAATACAATATCACAAACGTTTTCAAACATAAAGTTCTTCCTCAGGTGAGAAATGGACGAAAAATTGAATAAAATTTTATGGAACACTTTCTGAAAGAGCTCCGTAAAACGATTCAAAAAAACCTCGTGCGTATGACAACATCATTGCGCATGTGCCTTCCTCAAAAGTAAAAAATCTCTCTATTAACATCCGTCGTATATAAATGCTTGCCATGCTACAAATAAAGATAACTCCTCCTTACTGTTAATGCACTTATTATTTTGGGCGGTTTTGTATACATAAATCGCCTCCATCCACCTCAAATGTTCCGTATGTTGCGTGGAGCGGATGATCTTAGCATCATCAAACATCGGTTGGACGTCCAGATCTGTAGCGTAATGTGCCAAAGCTGTTGTAATTCTCTTACGGAGTATGTCCGCAAGAGCAAGAAACAACAAACCGTAAAGACAATTTTCCAGTCACATATAATCTGTATCTAGAAAAGCTTTATTCGGAAATTGCTAAAAAGAGACAAATCTGCATCACTTATAGAAGATGACCTAATATATTTAAGCTCCTCCATAATGCGAAGGACACTCCCAACCAAAACATGTTATCTGTGATCTTTTAACAGGATGTTATCCATCCCATTAAAAGATCACAGATGTGATGAGGATTTAATATACGTAGGCTCCACAAAGCGCTCATTGGGGATGAGACTGAAAGAACATAAAGCCGACATACGTTATGCCACAAATCCGGATGTCCAACCGATGTTTGATGATGCTAAGATCATCCGCTCCACGCAACATACGGAACATTTGAGGTGGATGGAGGCGATTTATAACCTATATACAAAACCGCCCAAAATAATAAGTGTATTAACAGTAAGGAGGAGTTATCTTTATCCGTAGCGTGGCAAGCATTTATATACGACGAATGTTAATAGAGAGATTTTTTACTTCTGAGGAAGGCGCATGCACAACGATGTCGTCATACGCACGAGGTTTTTCTGAATCGTTTTACGGAGCTCTTTCAGAAAGTGTTCCATCGAATTTTATTCAATTTTTCGTCCGTTTCTCACCTGAGGAAGAACTTTATGTTCGAAAATGTTTGTGATATTGTATTTTTTTTTTTTTTGGAGAAAATGCACCGACATTAATTTTTAGAGGTTAGTTGTTATAGCTGTTAGAGCAACCCTTTTGTATAGTGAACTTACTTTTTTTTACATTTTTAGGTTTGTGGAATGTCAAATGTCGAGAAATGCAAAAAAATCATGAAATCAAAATTTGACCAATCAGAATACTTTCCTTGTTATATTTTTTAACAACTGGGAAAGTAAAAGTATGACACTTGTAAAAACAGTCCATGTATAAAGAAAGGAAAGAGCAAAACGAATGTCAATTATATCCTATTAATTATTGTCCATTAAACCAACTTATACTGAAAATGAAAGAATCTTTTCCATCTCAAGAGGATTCCTAACAAAATTAAGAAGCCACTTTGCTGATAAATCAATCTATGCTTTTGATTTTCCAAAAAGGTATTTTAAATTAAGTTAGAAAATATACAAATAAAATTCATTTTAGCTTTGAACATCATACATTCAGATTATTATTACAGTCGATCCCCCTATAAGACGGTAGATATGTTCCATTCTTTATGAATCAATTTTGTAGGAATCACAGCCCGACACAGGTGAAGTTTACGGACTACAGCTGTTTGAAAGGTTTTCTTCCATAAAATTAATCAATTCTAAACTAATCCGACTCAACATTTCCAAAATACGTATATTTTTTTTGGAAATAATCCGTATAAACTACGCTATAAACAAAAAATTGTAGGATTACTTACCGAGTGTGCACTGTTCGACGTCGCCATTGCTTAAGCTTGTTTTCGTCGCGGAGCAGCGCACCAAACGGCGGCCGCGATTTCTGATAAGTTATTTTTCTGCGAAAACTTCGTTGAACTTTGGAGACATCATTAATATAAATAATTTTAATCGCCGTTGAATAAGAAATGTTTCTTTCACAAGAAATGTATAAAATTACAGTGCTGTATTAGACTTACGGTACCTAATTTACATACTGTACAGACAATAGCTCGCTTAAACTGTCCGTAGCGTGGCGCTAGACGGCAGAAAGTATATATATAATTATAATAAAGTTACAATAAATTAAGTTAATATATAATTATATATACAGTACCTAATTTATATATAATTATATGTACAGATGATACTATACTCATTTTACCTGCCTAAACTGTCCGTAGCGTGGCGCTGGATGGCGGAAAGTAGTTCGGCTGCCCGATGACGTTTTACATAATTATAGGAGTTCTTTTACCATTGTTTATGGATACCGCCACAATTTTTTTCGCCGTCTTATAGGAATCGTAATTATAGGAACCCATCTTATAGGGGGATCTACTGTATTATGCATCTTTCAGTTTACAGATACAGTACACTCTTGATTATCTGTTTGCAGATTATCCATGCATGATTATGTCTCAATTAAAATTTATATGTCAGGAGTACAAATATTATCATTGAAATAAAAAAATCTGTATTGTTAACTCTTGCTATTTAAAATGATATTTTCAGCATCATAACTACTTACAGAACATCAAGGCATAAACTAAATGGCATAACAAGTACAGTAAATACAGTCAATCCTTGAACAATAAGATTTTACTTACATGTGTCCTGTATGTTTTTACATTAAATAAGTTGTAAAATTGCTTGAAGGAAATATTTATGAATAAGTCCTTATGAATATATCATTAATATCACAGAATTAGTAATGTTTTACAACAATATCTAGCTGCTAACCGGTCATTCTTGTCCTTCTAGCTGTGGCTGCCTGCCATAATGTTTGTCCTAATTTTAAGTCTAATGTGTCTCCCTTTGTACTTTCTTTTTCTAGAACTTTCTGTCTCTTTTTAATCTCCCCTTTCAACCTTTGTAATCTTGGTCAACAATGGGGGATCTGTTCCAAAAACTATCTAGAACAATAAAATGGAAATTACCTGAGCTGTTAAGAAAAAAGAAAGTCAAAGTTTCTACTTATGGTCCCAATCATCAGAGGAGAAAGACAGACTTTTCACTTGTCTGAGAAGAGACCAACAAAATTAGAAGGGGGGTTTGAAAGGAAAGTTTATGCTTCGGAGTGTAATTGAAGGGTTCAACTGATGACCCAACAGTAGTATCTTGTATCAAGTGAGAGACCATCATGATGAGTTGAAAACAGAAGAGAAGAAAAACAACAAAAACATATTGTGTCACTAAAAAAAAAAAGAAAGTAAGAAGAAAGAAAAAGAAAAGAGAATTTTATACAAAGACCTCCTTGTGGACTCCCTCTTATTGGCAAGGAACAGTATCACCTGAAAGAAAATATTCTGGGTATTTTCATTTTTACTATATCTCTCTCTTCTTCAAGTGTCTTTTTCTAAAATCCTTCCATTTTAGATTTTAAGGTAGTTTTAAAGTTAGTATTAGGTTTTAATTTTTTCACTGTGATGCACAAATGAGTCTTATTTTTAACCTCATGTAGCCTCAAACCATTGTGACATGTAATAAATCGGTGGTAACCATTCATAGCTGGAATTGTAATGTGTATTGTATTGAAAATGTTAAAATGTAAAATATTAGTGAGTCCACCAGGTGGCGATCGTTGCTGATGCATCACGGAAACGGTACCTGAGCGCTCACTTTGGTTGTAACCTCAAGACAATAAACATAACATGGCGCAGTCGACAAACGCTTAGAGAAAGACGAAAGACTCTCCCGTACTGGATTCAACATGTCCTCGTTTCAAAATCTTCCTCCTCCAAAACCGATGTTGGTAGAAGGTGACTTAGGAGCGAATTGGAAGAAATTTAAGAAAAGTTACCTACTTTATTCGACGGCGACCGAACTCACAACGAAGAACAATGAAACTCAAGCCGCCATCTTGCTCCATTGTTTGGGAGAAGAAGCACTAGAAATTTTTGAAACATTAGAACTTAGTGAGGAAGAAGCGAAACAGCCCAATGTAATTCTAGAAAAACTCGAGTTGTATTTTATTCCGAAAAGCAACCAAAGTGTTGAGAGTCACAAATTCAACACTCGTGTGCAAGGACCGAGCGAAGCCTTTGACGATTTTTTAGCAGACTTACGTAAGCTATCGATAAATTGTGAATTTGGGAATTTACGAGATCAACCATTGAGAGATAGAATTGTGAGTGGTATTCATGATCAGAAGATAAAGGAACGTCTATTGCGAGAAACGGAGCTATCATTAACAAAGGCAATCGACATATGCAGAGCCGCCGAACAGACAGAGAGTCACATTAAACTCTTGTCGAATCAATCAAAGAATATAGAAGTCAACGTGATAAAAGGAAAATAACAATAAACATAACAGGAAGCCTAATAAAAGATCCTATAATCATTATCCTGTATGAATAACTTTGTTTTGTTTTGTTTTGTGTTTGTATACCAAACATGTCTTCTGGTGTTTTTTTTTTTGCATCCTGCCTTCATTGGCAAAAGACATCCACATCAACTTACAAATATCACATAGCCAATTGTTTAAATTTATCACAAAGAACCATTTTCATCCTTTATTAGGACAGCTTCAGCTTCCTAATAAATTTACCACAAAAATGTTCCTTCATGGTAAATTTAAACAATTTGCTACCTAATCACTACACTTATATGATATGCAATCATCTTTATTCGAATGTTTTCAAAAACCATCAGTGATAACTCTAGGGTTCAATGCACACTTATAATTACTATCAAACTAGTCACTTTGCTACGCACAATTATGAAAGCCTAATTTCTTCTAAATCAGCATCAAAAATTAAAATCAAATTTTAAGGAAGTTCTGTTAAATAATTTTTGAAGTATACACCAATACAACTAAATGTGTAGTTTGAGCATTACTTTCTTTTGCTACAACTTATTTGTACAAGACTGGCTTTTCCAATTATAGTACAACAAAACTAAATACAGGAATAAACTTCAACCTGCATCTGATTGAAAATTCAACATTCCAACATTATATCAAATACATTATATTAAAAAAAAGAATGTACTGTATTCAGATGCAGAAATATCAATTCCATTAAAATGCAATTTATAGTTTTCCTTTTTAAAATCATAATTTGCACTGTTTTGATATGTATTATGTATATATGTAGAATACAGCTTTAATTTTCAACTAAATTTATAATTTTGATGTGTATATTTTTGTTTTATTTTCAAAAACATTTGAGTATTAACTATGTTTTTCAATTTTAAAAATCAAGTAGCCACAAATAGATATAAATGTTTATGAGATGAAAAATATTCCATAATTGAAAAAGTTTGTAAAAGGCTGGTTTAAAAAAACACAAATACATGCTCAATGACATTGAGCATGTATTTAATGAACTGAAAAGGCTTGCTTATAAATGTATTTGTCTGAATATATTATTTTAGAAATTGTGGATATTTAAGTCAAATAAGATCAATTACAACTTAAATCATCATCACATTTGAAACTGACTAACATAAAAATGAAAATATTTAACTAATAATTTTAAATTAAAAATTTCAAACTTTTCATGCAAAACAACTTTGATAACTTTCAAAATATAAAAATAATGTTACAAAGTTTCAAAAAATAAAATATATATTTTTGTAATCCGATTATTCTAAATGTTATTTATTACTAAGAATAAACGACTTCTAACAACTTAACACTGTGTTTTCTAATAACAACCCACAAAAAACCTTTTTAACGAGTGTTATGCCACTATTAAATTCCACAAGTACTTTCGACCTCCACCGAGGTCTGCTTCAGGTGGTGACTGGCCGTGTTTCGACCCGACCGTCGTAACGATGTTGCCAACGATGTAAATAAATAAACGTGCATAAATAAACGTGGAATTTAATAGTGACATAACACTCGTTAAAAAGGTTTTTCGTGGGTTGTTATTTATTACAACATAAATTAAACTTATTTGGAATTATATATAAACTAGCAGGTAGACCCAGCGTTGCTCGGGCAAAAGTAATGATAGCAAAGATTAAGATTATTACGTTGTATTCAACCTTACCCATTTTCACAGAATGTAAGAATTGGGTCCCCCGTTTCCAGACTAATTAGAGAATTTTTTGATGGGTCTAAAAATATCTTCGATTTCCCCTCAAAAATGAAAAAAAACTGCATCTGCGTCTTGCACGTCGCTTTCTGTTAACACTTCCATTGTTACTTAACACTTCTATTGTTCATGGAAGTGTTAAGACTTAATCCTGTCCCTCTCCCCTGGGGGAATTTCGAAAAATCCCTTCTTAGTGTGCGTTTTCATGACGTACCCTAACTGTATACCAAATTTTAACTCCTAACCATTTCGGCTCTGCACTTATTATTATTATTATCATTATCAACTCGTCTCGATTATATATATAGATTAATAATGCATCTTACCTTTCAAAAATTTTGCTTGTTTACTGAAGCTTATGAATTTAGCCCCAAGTTTACTTGAAAGTGTCACATTTCTCATCCAAGGTACATGATTAATGAATGATGGGTTTGATGTAAATAATGTCTGTACTAATGGAGATAATTTTAATACTGCTGAAGTAGAATGATTCATATAAATTTGTGGCTTCATATATCTTAATTGTTCTCCTATAACAGAAAAGGTTTAAATATTAATACTGTAATAATTAAAATATTTGATTTCAAGAGAATATTTTTAAAACTAAGATTAATGACCTCAGTGAAGAAAATTAAATACAGTTTTAGTTCTTTTATAATTTTTAAAGTTTTGTGAAATATTTCAAATTAATACAATATATACATGATCTTTCCTAAATACAACTTTAAGTAAAATCATTTAAGCATAAATATAGTAGACTCTTGAAAACCCAACAAACTTCCTTAACTCAAATTTTACTTTCATTCTGACCCAACAGCCATGAACACAATGTATTCTGTTTCTATAAATCAAAGTATTTTTGAGATCACATTATGCTAGCTTGAAATTTACGGTTCAAAGATTTTATTTTGTATCCAAATCATGTTTTCTTTTCTACATTCAAGGGGATGGTATTCCAGTTAAAAAATTGGTATTGCATCAGTTTTATGCCTTTGACTGCAGAACACAAAATTCAAATTTTTAATGACGTTTTGCAGCTAAAATAACAATCTTATTCTTAAATGAAAACTGACTAATCGAATCACAGTGCTTTAAAATCATTATTTTTTTTTAATTTTTAGATTTTTAAAATTTAAAAATGTAATCTGTGATTTGACAACTTACTAAGTTATTGGCCATCAAATTTACAACTTTGTCTACATGTATCTTCTTATTTGATTTAAATATTCATATTGTATAAATTTCATTGTAAAGTTTGAAAAGCATGTTGATATTTTCATCACTGATGGTAGCTAGTTAATCAATGTATTGAGAATTTTCATTTTGAAGTAAACAGAAATAATGACAAGAGAAAACAAAAGATTTTTTTATCATAAATATTGTGAAGGAAAGCATATAGAAAAAAAATCAGAAATTACAAAAGAATTTGACATTTAGTTAAGTACTCTTTCTACATATCTGAAAAACAAGGAAAGAATTTTGGAAAATGTCAATGAACAACAGAATCAGATAAAACAGAAAAGAAAGTTAAATATGAGAGAATTTAGATGCTGAAAACTATTTTAAAAAATAATAAAATATACTTAAGTCTGACTATATTTATACCGTGATATTTACAATTTCATTAAAATAATTGTAGTTTCTGTAACTCAAAAATTTTTCTTTGTCCTTTCCAGTTCAAGTTGTAGAGAGTCAGTCTACTTTATAAGTATAATACTAAGATAATTCTTTTATTTATTTTATCAATAAAAATTATATTAAAAAAAATCAAACACTAAAATATCCAAATACTAAATTCTAAATTTTAATGTAATTAACTTTTTTGGACAATTAACTTTTAATCTTTTTGTTTTGTTAAATAATGAAATGTTTCAAATCTACTTAATATCAGATGTAACTATTAGGATTTTCATTTTAAAAAATTGCTGAATTATGCATTACAAACTACTGCATACTAAATACTTATATTTTAATAATATTTTAATATAAGTATTTAATATTTACTTCATATTTTTAATGAGTAAAAATATAACAAAATAAGATACTGTATATCTTATCTTATTTTGTTATTATTTTTACTCATAAAAAATTTATAAAGGATCAATGACATTCAAAAAGATGTGGCAGAAATGGGCATATCTGAAGAAGATATCCAGAACAGGGAAAGGTTTAGAAACAAAATAAAGAACTTCAAAGGTTTTCAGGAAAAGGAAAATAACAGACGTGGAAGACTCTTCACGTGGGAGCAAAGACAACAACAGAGCGAGAGAATGAAGAAGTATTGGAAAGAAAGGAAGAAGAACAAAGGGAAGGGAAGAGGGAAAAGCAAGCCATAATTAGTTGTTTGTACGTGGTCCAAAAATGGCTGGAATCGACACAAGAAGAAAACTATAAAGTAAATATTAAATACTTATATTAAAATTACAAATATTTACTATCAACATTGATAATTATTAAAATATTTTTAAATAATTACGATAAAGTACAGTATTCTCTCCATATCCTTGGAAGATAGATCCCTAGAAATTATAAAAGAATCTGACATTCAAAGTATATCATTTTTAGCATTCATGGAGAGACTCATCTCCCTATGACTGCTAAAATCCTTGAATAATACCATATCATACATGATATATTTTTTAAACTTATATACAGATTTATGATATAGTTTAATTTAAAAATTATTCAGTCACCTTAAGCAATAACAGTACAGTATATTAAACTGTGCAATATTTGCAATAACACTGCAAGCATGATTGTTTACACTATGAATGCTATCTATAGAGTGACTAATTAATTGTGTGAGTGAAAGACTTTGGAAACAGTTGAAAAAGGAATAATTTTTAATTATATTCGGGATAGAGGTCAAGCACAGTTCAGAGTCAAACACAGAGGTCAAACACATTTATGAATTCAAATTTATGAGTTTCTTATTTCAGAATTTTTTTTTCTTTTTAATAGTTTTCTATGTTTGAAATGACAGAAGCTGGAGAAGCATGGTTTACTGACTAAAGAGTCAGATTTATCAGAACTAGGACTAGGCTCCATTGCTACTAACCATTGACCATATGCAAAATTGAGAATCCACATACAGTCAAACCTCCGGTTTATAATGCTTAGCAGGAACCGGTCACAGACAATCAACTCCCTATACTTCCTATGTTAAAGAAAGTTGACAATCCAACAGATCAACGACGGGGCTGCAGATTCAGAGGTTAGCGGCACTGAGATTATCTTATGTCATCAGACACCACAACACAAATCATCAGCAACTTTGCTATTTAAATGAGATTTTTACATGCATTCGGGAAAGATACTGTTTCCGTTTTTCCATATGCGCCGCAGTTAAATCTAAATCAAATTAATTAATAAAAACTGTATCAATTAACATTCACGTAATATAAATGGCATTCGAGAATTCATGTTTAAATATGTTTAAGTTAAATTAAATGATAAAAATTTATTAATATATATTATATTATAATATTAATATTTAATACTTATTAATACTAGGTAGTCAGTTAATTAAACTGAAACTAATAATTAAGTTTAAAAATAATAATTAAAATCTGGCCTTTACACCAAAACTGAAACTAAAATTAAAAATAAAATTAAGTAATTAATTAATTAAAATTAAAAACTGAATTTAATTGAAGTCAAATCAATTGAAACACAATATTTCAGAAAGTGTGGATAAAGTGTCCATCTCGATTGATTTGGTTATATTTCATCCAGATAGTCAGAGATATTAAGGGTACATTCGTAAAGTCAAACAACTTAAACACGTTAGTAACGAATTGTTTGAATAGTAGTGGTCTCCCTCAGTGCGCTTGCTCTGCTGTGATGACGTTTCGAACGAAACTCTAACGAAGTTCACAAAGGAAAGAGTTAGTTTACTTCATTAAGAAAATGGCACCCGACGATATCGATGTTTCTAAATCTACTCGAGTGTTTAAATTATGAATTAAAAGGTGAAATGATTGAAATAGCTGTCCACCCGAAGCAATCTAAGAAAAATATTTTGGATAAGGCTGCACTAACAACATTCATATCTTCGATTTCATCATTGGATAGAAACATCCAATTAGTTATAAACAAATCGTTCGAAAAGTCTAATGAAATAAGAATAATGATGACGTCATTCTCGTTTAACTTGTTCAACTTTACGAACGTAACCTAAGTTTTGTATAATTTAAAAATCAAATAATAATTCTTAAAATCTGACCTATTTGATTTATAGCAATAATGTTGAAATTAACACAAATAAATATCTGCCCATGCTCTGTAGAACCTCTTGGAAAATTATAATAACCTTCCTGTGGAAATTTTGGAATGCTGTGAATCATCCAATATCCAGAATCATTATCAAATGCAAGAACACCTGTTCAGTAAATTAAAATATGTATCAGAATTTAATATTTGCAAAATATATTTTTATAAAGAGAAGAAAATTACATAAATCATTAACAAATTAAAAATTAAATTATCAATTAAAGTATGATTATTTTAAATATCTGAAATATATAAATGTTTTAATAAAATATATATTTCAAAATTATTTTTTTAAATAAT